ATACGTTTGGGCGTGGCCTAACTCGCGATTTGTTGAGTTGAACAAAGTCAACAAACCCTGCGAAAAATTTCAAATATTGGATGATAGGCAAAATCTGAACTGATATACATTCTAGGTAAACCATTCAATAGCAAAATAATGCAGTTTACGAGAAATAACCAATATACTTGCAATTTTAGCCATCATTTCTGAAACAGGAAGCACGTACCGCATGTGACACATGACGGAAAAATATGCAAAAGTTGGTAAGCTATCATAAAGAAATTCCGAAATAGATTCAAATTCAAAAGAAAATACATAATTTACTATTTTTCGTCAACTATTTACTATTTATTGATCTGGAGAGCAGTCTTCACTCCTATTTGTTTCATATTTCTTCGTGATAGTCGCCATCAAATGTGTAAGTCTAAATCCGAATCTGTAATGGATTTCACGCTCGATGATTTTAACTTTAAAATGTTTTCTGAAAATGACCGCAACGGACAGCGATATAACGTATTGATATGCCATAATAATAACAACATAATATTGTTATTGGTCTAACATTACAAAAAGAACAATTTAAAATATTAAAGATGTTGTTGAAAACTTTCTGAGAACCTCCCGTCCTCTGAACTGATTAAAATTTTGGTACACTACGAGGTAGTGGAATATATATAGATTCTAGGCTCCTATATATATGTGATTTTGTACCCAAAACAAATTAAATTGTACCCAAAATACTTTGTGAATTTGTACCTAAGAAAATAAGACAATAGATCTATAATTATATTTATGTTTTCATGTAGATGAACAGAACACATAATAAAATATTTCATCAAGTTCATAATATGATTATGACTGTGATCCTTGAAATTGATTGTTTAGTTTTGAGAGAAAATTGACGTCTTGTCACTGAAGAAGAGGCCAGTTAAGTTGGTTAAACCTAAGTTAGAATGTATTGTTTTGATAGGAAAGTGATATTATGTTAAGTTTAAGACACCAAAATTAATGTATATCTTTGAAATAATTCTAGGTAGATCTACAAAATCACATACCCATTTGGGTACCAAATCACTAGAAATTTTGGGTACAAAAGTCGCCACTGTACATTTCAACTGGTTTTCGTAAATCAATGGGATAAATTTTTTTTGTCTGAATGATTCCTTTTCTCATTTTAAGACAAGAATTTGTTTTACATAACAAAACAGGCAGATCTACACGGATCATGTTTTGTCCTAAAGATATATAAAAATGTGAAAAATATGGACACCTCAGAAATGAGGGCTTATAAAGTTATAATTCTACCTAACTTGTCACATGGTTTGACTTAGGTCTATCTAAGAAAAGTCCTTAGGAAAATCTTTTTTTAATTTTTTTTATGACACTGACATTTCTGGCACTTAGACAAAGTGAGTGAGTGAGTAGTTTTACGCTGCTTTTAGCAATATTCCAGCAATATCACGGCGGGGGACACCAGAAATGGGCTTCACACATTGTACCCATGTCGGGAAACGAACCCGGGTCTTCGGCGTGACAAGCGAACGCTTTAACCACTAGGCTACCCGACCGCCCCCACTTAGACAAAGAGTATTAAAGGAAAGACAGATATGTTTTTGAATGAAAATATGACTTTCCTTTATAATTCTTTTTTCATGATGACAGGGGAACTTTTATACAACCAGCTGAGGAAGTTGTGATACTGTGATTGCATACAAAGGAAAAACAGGTTGGAAGCAGTACCTGTATGTATAAAATGGACCACATAAGGTGAACAAAAGAAATGGATTGGCTGACTGGAAAAAATACATCTGGCAAGGGTAAACATGTACACAGGCATGTGTCTTTTCATTCCAACCAGAAGACTGAGATAGCATTTTCTAAGAAACATATGGCTAGCTTACCAGCTTATGTGCCACCATGGTTCTTGTGATTAAACAAACAATAAATGTCATGTACTATTACAGGTACTGTTACTGTAATTAATGTATCATATTCCTATTAAATTATATTTCAGAATTGTTTTATTTGGAAACAAAACACATAATGCACAAGATTAATGTCCATATGAATTTAGTACATGTACGTATATATGTTCAGGATCTGATTTATTCATTATTCATGGAATACTAAAATTAAAATGATGACATCAGAGAGTTACTTATTCACTTAGTTGATTTTCAGAGTGAAAGATACTTATTGTTGAAAAAATATGTTTAAACTAAAGAGATTGAAGTTTGATCAGTTACACTGTGCTGATGCAAAGACCAATATTTACTGTCCACACACACAATCATTGTGGGGAAAAAATAACTACTAAATATAACTTAAAATTTTAAAACCTGTAAACAGCTGTAAATAATTGAACAATTACAAATCTATCATCAATACGCAATCATGGTGGTCTTCATATTTTTGGAATAAATTTAGAAATCCTTTGTGAAACTTCTAAAATCATGCTAGAATCTATGAATGTATTCCCGAAAGGAAAACTATCCCAAATGTAATGTGGAACTAACACCGAAAAATGTACGTAGCATTTTATTGCTTATATATACACTATCATATTCAGCAACGCGGGGATGTTATTTTGAAACAAGTTTTGTCAAGCCAATTTTCGCGCACCTGTTGTAGAGGGTGATCTTGCTGATCGACGATATCCATAGACGTATTACGTGGGATACACTTGTTGTAGTGAAACTTATCAGCGTGTACATCGCAGAAATATGAATCATGTCCCATTTATATTCACCGTAACATTGAATGGTGATTCTTAAATATCAACAGAAGTTCAAATAAAAGATACCGAGAAACTTGCATGTGGCATGTTGATTTATCGTCTACCGTTTCCGGGTCACAGGAGCATGCAAGGTCAAACTAATACGCGAATTATATCGTCAAAGGCACATTTTTATTTCATGTTAGTGGCGATTACTGATACTGTGTTTGGACTTATGTTTTTGCTGTATGTGATAGGCGAACTATTTCAAAATTTACTGTAATTGTTTTGTTACGAAAGATTATCAGCAGACTATCCCTGTCTGTGACATCACATCCGGTGACCTTTGCACTTATTGAAATAGTGCTGTCAGAATTCACGATCTTTATTTTCGTTTTTCTCTCGTCATATTAATCGGAATATGACGAATAAAACATTCTTCGATGGAGAAGATCATCAACTTTCGCCAAGTTATATTTATAAAGGAAATGTAAACTTTGTTGATATTAAAATAGCAATAAGTTATGCGGAGGTCGGGCGAAGCGTGCCATGTTTGATTTTAGGACGTCTGCTAGCATCATGACACGGGTTGTTTATTTTTGTATATCGTAAGTATTAAACCAAAACGCTTGAAATTAGGATTAGTGAATATATATAAGTCATTAATTGTTTCCTGCAAATTTTATAACATGACATGTCAGATTAACCTGAATATTCATATTTCTGCAACCGACATGATGACCTCGAAAATTAAGTTATTTTTCTGTTTAACGTTTAAATAATAAATTTACTGAAATGGTTCATAATTTACCATCGCGCTGTTATATGCAGATAAAAAAAAACGAATTTTTACTCAATTAAAATTAACATATCGGAGATATGATTATTGAAATCAATTTGCACAAATGTTAGGATATTAAAAGGTTCCTAGCATGAAATGCAAACCACCTTCAATAACGCAATTCAGGTAAGTTCAAGAAAATTTACAAATTTTGTGTTCGCTTTGGTCTTAACCTTGGAATGATTGAAAACATCGGGATATTTTTATATAGTATTGTGTAGTTTTCTATCAGGAATAAATGTGCAAAATATTTCTTCAATTGGCCCTTGTTTAATGAGGCACCGACTGTTCGAAATCACCCACCCTCTTTAGAGCGCCATATGCTAAAATTAATCCAGCAGGCAGGGGTAAGAAGTGTGAAAATAATTCAGCAGGCTAAAGGTTAAGGGAGAAAGGAGTTGAAGATTCCGTCTTTGTCCAGCGAAAATATGGAACTGGTGGGGTTCGTTGTATCTTGGACCGTTGGAGGAGAGGATGTGTCCGATGATTTTTTTCCACTGGTGTCTTCTAAGACTTTGGCGGTTTTTCTGTAGTCTTCGATCAGATATGAGGTGCTGGCTCTCACAAAGCTCTGAAATACTGCATTTGCCATGATAATTGGAGCACTCATAATCCAGGCAAGGATATAGGTGAAAAGCTGGCAAGAAGAAGACTGGCAAAAACAAGGAGGCTGGCAACCAAAAGAAAATAACGCATGACGAAAGGCAAAGTCAATGCAGTCAAGAAGACATAGAGAGAGGCAAATTGGTTAGGAAAAAAAATGTACATCAACATTTCACCACTGTGTGGCACGTGATCGGTGCATGTAGGTCAACCACCAGCAAAACATGCATGACCCAGATGTTTGGAGGTGACCATGGTGAGGTACGTATGGGTGAATTAACTTTAGAAGCTGGAAACCTACATTTTAGACACATTTCCACCAGTGCCAAAACACAGAAGCTCACCGTTTTATACATCAAACAGATTTAAAAGTCAGTTTAAACTGACATACAAGATAAGAGGGAGTTGTTACAAATTCACTAATCTGATATGAGATCTCAATAATAATTATAAACATAGACTTTGTATTTCAAAATATGTAAACATAATCAAATATAGGATTGACAAAAATCTAACAAGCTCCTTGGGTTGGTTGGCATGAAAGTGGTTGAAGCCTCTCACATCTATGACCCAGATTCCATTCCTACAAGAGTAGCATGTTTGAAGCCCACTTACTGTGTTCTGAGCTTTCCCAAAATAGGATACTGGCTCATAGTAACCTTTCATGCAGGTGAGTTTAAAAAGAGCATATTTGAAACCAATGAATAACTACCAATGACTGACCTACAGTTCAGTCCACAGGTGACTAAACATAATTGTATAAGAACATAAGAAGAAAGTTGAATTCCAGGTCACCATCATTCTCCGTGTAGGGACAACCAACTGTTGAAATACTGAAAGTTGTGGGAATTAGCCTACCACATGATGTGTTGATGGCGTCACGAAGCTCAGCATATTTCCATTTAGTCAAGTCATATTTCTTGTTGGCAGCAGCCTGTCGCCTTGCAACAGCTTCAGCTGATCTGTAAAACACATAATACTTCAGCTACCCTGGTAGAGTGGTATACAAGCACAACTTTCACTTTTACCACATCTATGTAACAACAATAAAGGTAACATAGATATGGGACCCCTGGTCCAAGCAGTCACCCTACCTCTGTAGTGGTGGAGGGAGCTGTATGTCCTCAACCTCATTCTGGTCCTCCATTGCCAGACGTAGAGCCAGCTCCCGGTCACGATGTTCTTGATCCAGCATCTGTTGTCTAGGCACCAACGGTAAAAGTACAGTCAATCAACTAGTATATCTGAAGAACTCTTATGTGAAGCAATTAGTGCTTGAATGTCATCACAGTTGAACTGCAATATTACACTGTATAACAAGGCAACATATATTATTTCCCAAACTCTCTTAATTCCATAACAAAGATAGCAAAACAAACTGAACATTCTTGACTTGATGTAAGTAGCAATGATTGAATGTTGGTTCATTATAGGGCTGGGACAAGTCCAAAGTTACTACCCAGAAATCCCGAAATATTACCTGACCTTACCCGGGTGTCTCAAGAGATGGATACAAAATGTCCAATTGTGCATTGTTTTACCCTGGCAAAAACTATTTAGATACACATCTTTACTCAAACAAATAAAAGTAAGAAGGAATGCGTGCATAGTCAGAAAGAAATATGAAAAAAAGCAACTTGTAGTGTAATCATGGAGTATTATTGTTAATGTCATTAAATAATATATCCTGTGACTAACCATGTCCTTTGGGTACCCGGGTCCTACCTAGGACCTACCCGACCCGATTTCACAAGTTCCCCATCCCAGCCCTAGTTAATTAACTCTGTATTTATGAAGGTGTCTCCAACTTTGTCAGTGTACAATGTCACAATCAACTAAGTCGCAAAGCCTGACCACCCAATCCATTTATTCTCCTCTTAAAACAAGCACAGGTTGCTGGTGACCTCTTCTAACCTTGATTCCCTGCAGGGTTGTATGATTTTAATGAGTCATGCTATGCGAAAAGAAACAGTTGTTTCAATCTCATTGAAGTCCAACTTGTTTTTGCCTTAGAAAACAATATCAAATAATATTTTAAAAACTCCTGACTACCAAAGGCATGAGTTAACTTGCTTGCCTAATGTGTATACAAAAGAAAGAAATTTTTTAACAGTTCAGCTTTGGAAACAAACCTTCCCTTATGTAACAAAAATCTAAATTGCTGCCTTACAAATGCAAAAAATCAAGTAAAATCCTAGATATTTTTTATACTTGTATACTTATCCTGCATTACTCCTTAATGCATCTACAGCTTGTTCTTGAGAGAATGAAGAGCTGTGTGAGGTGTTGCTGAAGAAGAAGTTGTTTCAACTAGCAACCCTGTAGTCACGGGTCAGCACGTAACTTCTACAAACTGGACCATTTGCAGGCATCTTGGGGAGGCAGCAATGTGACGGGTGGGCCCCTTTAGACACAGTAATGCAGGATAATAAAACAAGTATAAAAAATATCTAGGATTTTACTAGATTTTTTAACTTATCTTGCATTACTCCTTAATGCATCTGAAACGGACGGAAAGGTGGAGGGCATACATTCAGATGTAGTCTTCCATAACAAACTCTCCAAGATCACTCAGCCAAAGGCAAAGCTCAGCATCGATCAACTGTTCCTGTTGACAGGGAAGGAGGGAGTTTGGTAAGCCGGATATCCAGGTATCGATGCCATAGAAGACAAATGAAATTATAATCTACAATTGATGTACCGAGCCGAAATGTGGGTAGTATGTTGCCATCTAGTCAAAGGTGGTACACACCGGAGAGGTAGAGAGGCCGGCTCTGGATAGGTGGAGAGTAGGTGACTTGTTGGGCCACTACTAAAGGACAAAAGCTGTGCGTGCCTTGCATGTCTTCTAAGGTGTCATCTCGCAGGTAGTGACTGGCGAACACGGTATTGGAACGCCAGAAATAGCCTTCCATAATGGCATGTATGGAGTAGTTGCTGTGAAGTGCCATGATGGAGGCGACCTCATGCGGGTTGCTGTTTCTCAGAGGATCCTATCCTGTGAACTCATAGGTCTGGAGAATGAGGGCTCTTAGCAAAAGGGCGATGGTATTTCGGCTGACTTAAGCTTGTGAGGTCACAGTACCTGCAACAAAGAGACAACAGCGTTGTTTGCAGCGATCCTTGGATCGGCTGATGAAACATTGCAGTGCTCTCACTGGACACAGTAGAAGCTCTTGTTCTTCCTCCGCTACAACTATCAATGATAAAGGCAGATAAAGAAAGATCTGTCGGGCTGTCCTGGGTGCTGGTTATTGGTTATAAAGTCCCATCCCACACATGATCTCCCTGCTCAAACCTGACCCGTGTCACGTCTAGTGCGTGGATCTTCTGGTCTTCCAATCGGAAGGAGCGAAGTAAAGCTTGGAGTTCCGGGATCTTCGCCATTTTACGATCTTCTGGAATTGCCAAGATGGAGTTGAGGGCCACAAGGTAAGTAGTGTAGGTGCTTACCTTTAGATGCTGTTTGTGATGAAGGAACAGCAGGAACTTAGCCAGGAATTGAGGAGATGCAGAGGTGGGATCCTGATATTTTTCCATGCAAAACCTTTCAAAGGAAAGCCACTTGTCATCTGTCGACTTCTGGTGGACGGTCAATGGGCCAATGTAATGGCCTACACCGTTCTGGCTGAGTAACCCTTGGCACTTAAGGCTCTTTAGTAAATGGACCAGATGTGTAGATGTAACTTGTCTGGTGATGTGATGTTGTCACTTGCTGTGTGGATGAATCAGAAGATTTGGGAGTTTGAGAGGGTCGGCGGCAGCTTTCTCTCTGAGATCGACGAACCAGCCCCTCGCTGGCCACCAGGGCGTGACCAAAGTCAGATCAAGGCTCTGTGTTGACTCTGAGATTTGGATAACCCTGGGAAGAAGTACAGGAGGCAGAAAAGCATATGCTTTTGGACCTTCCCAGGGGATGCTGAAGGCGTCGACTACCTAAGCCTGCGGATCCAGTATAAGTGATACAGAGGTTCGTATCTGGTAGTTCTTGCTGGTGGCAAATAGGTCTATGTTGAGGTGACCAAGGCACAGACAAACAAGAGTGAAGACATCCAGGCGGAGCTTCCACTCTGTAGCAGCGACTTTGTCCGGTCGAGAGAGGACGTCTGCCTGGATGTTGCAGCAACCCTGGATGTGTTGAACCCAGAACTGGAGCCCCATTTGATCGACCAGGTTGAAGAACCGGAATGTTTGCTGATGGGGAGAGTGGGAGTGAATCATACCCTGGTTCTGGAGACACCAGACGACAGTGATGTTGTCCGTCAAGTTGGCGATCCACCCGTGCTAGAGGGTCTGCTTCCAGTGAGAAAGAGACAGTATAAGCAACTCCAGTTTGAGGTTGTTGATATGCCAATGCTGTTGAGTGGCGGACCACAGCCCCAAGGCAGCCTACCCTTCCAGGAGCACTCCCCATCCTTGAAGAAAAGCGTCGATGATTAAGGGTAAAAAGGTCTTAAGCTATGTCAAAGAGACGCCCCCTAAGACAATCGAATACACTGTCCACAGCTGCAGATGAGGCATGAGACAGTCTGGGAGGATGATGGATACTGACAGTTGCCGGCGTCCGATGTAGGGGGCCAGGATTTTGTGAATGGAGTGCAGTTGGAGCTTTCCTCTGGAGGTCAGGTTCTAAGCTGATGTTAGGAGACCCAAGAGCACTTGGAAGTCCCCGTGAAGAAGGAGCATGGTCGGATCCAGGTGGTTCAGGGGGCAGTCATGTATATGTACACCTCAAACTGGACTGAGGGGGCAGAGCATGGTCATCCAGATGTCCGGTGGATGAGCCAGGTAGTGCTTGTTGAAGGTGGTGAGATTGTTAATCATTTTGAATTGGTCCGAGCCCTTCTTGAGGACAAGGAATATTTGCGAATAGAAGCCTGGTGTTATGGCTGGGGAGTGTACAGCCTCTTTGGCCTGCAGTGTATTGATGTTCAAGCACAGGAGCTGCTGTTGACTAGGGGGTAGGTGTCTGCTATGGGTGATGACGTGAGAGGCGGGTCATCTGTCAGAAGGAGCTTGTACCCGTGACGGAGGATGTTGACAACGTATGGGTCCCCCAGGATCTCCCAATTTTGCCAGAAGTGACTTGGTCTCCCACCTACAGGAGTCTCGACAACTTGGACAACTGGGGGCGGGGTCTGTCATTTCACTTCTTGTCCTTTCAATCATTGCTCCCTCCCTTGGGGCAATCTCAACAGGGCTGGTTGGAACTGAAAGGCTTGCTTCCCCCTGTTCTTTTCCCAAGGAAGAGGAGACTGAAGGGAGTTGCGCCTAGGTTGATAGGTGCCGCACCTAGATGGCTTGAATGAAGTGGACTGGGAGACGTGGGCTAGAGCCTTGAGGGCGGTCTCGTCCCTGTGAAGGCTGCACCTGGGCGTGAGTCTTGGAAACCTGGTCATGAAAGAGCAAGGAGGACAACCATGGTTGACAGAGGAGGTCTCTCTTGAACTCTGGGTCCTAATCAGAGAGAATGATAGCCAAGGCGAAACGTGGTCGTAATCTAGAACAGGGCGGCGCGAATATGTATCCTCATATGTTCCACCTGTCACTGGAGGTAAAAGAGAGGAGTGTGGTGAGGTGGCCCAGTCGATCAGGACTATCCTCCACGATATCCTGCATAATAGCCCTGGAGGTTAACGCAATGATGGATAGTGGCTTGAGGGAGCGTCTGAGTTCCGTCTCAAATAGGCGAGCTTGTTGTCCGGAATGCAGATGGTGGGCGGCGGTTTGAGCCCGTCATGTGGTGCATGTCCTCATCAAGCATGTGGGCATAATCGGCAAGCTGGAAGGAGCAGATGTATTTCTGTGCCTTGAAGGAGGAATGAGTGACAAGGAATGCGGAGGGATGGAGGAGGGGTCCAACAAAACAGTGTCCCTCTTATCCACATCCTGTCCAGGAAAAGGAGTTGTGGCCTCCAGACGGCCAACCAATCAGCCACCTGGTTGAGGCCAAGGTGTAGAATCATACAAAGGAGCTTTCAGAGTCTGATTGGTAACCGCTATAACAGCGAACTGGAGTGAGACGACTTGCTGCTACATCGTGAGGAAATCCCATGTGAAGAGGGTCTGGAGGAGGACATACCGCACATGTCCAAGCTAGGTCGCCAATAGAGACGCCTGTAGGGATGCAGGTACAGATGCCTGTGAAAACGCCAGGGGAGGCGGTTGGTAAGGCACTGGCAGAGACCATGTAGGAGCCGGGGGAGCTGAGATCGTGGCTGAAGTTGAAGCAACACAAAAGAATACAGCAAGCAAGCCATGAGATCGCAAATGTACCACCAGGTGTTAAATAATTATTCTATGGCGTAAATCATATGAAATATATGAAGATACAAACTGGAAGCACAATATAGTCACAAGAGAAATTCACTTTAGAAACAAACACACAAGGGTTAAACAAGTTCATGACTGAGAGATAAAAAAAACAGTCTTGCTTCTGTGAGTGACAGCAGTTATGTGCTGATCAAAAACGTCATCACTTCCGTGGTCACGTGGGAGCTGTGTGACAAATTCTTCTTCAGCAAGACCTCACACAGATCTTCATTCTGTCAAGAACAAGCAGTCCATGCATCAAGGAGTAATGCAGGATAAGTTAAAAAATAATTATTTCATATAGTGATTTCACAAAGATATCATTAACTTACATGAAACATTTCAGTCAAATAGAAGAATTGCATTTCTAGATTCTCTTGTTGATGTATCTTAACAGTTTTGAGATGTTGTCAAACATCAACAAGGTCATGAAATTACACAGTTTATGTAATTGACACATTGGACAACAATAAAGTCTCTTAACGTCAAACCTACTAAAACCTGACACACTAACTCCTCAATTATTAATGTATATCAAATTAACTCTTAACTATGAACATGTAGAAAGTATATATGGTCGGCCATGTTTGACAATGCTATTCTCACCTTGCCGCATTAGCCTTGGCCTCCTCTTCCATTTGTTTTTGCAGGATGGCCTGAAACAATGCATCATTTTACAAGCTTACTGGAACAATAGCACCTGCTAGGAAAAACTGGTCTGTGACTGTATCGTAACCTACACACAGAAAGTAAACATGCCAATATGAACTTACAGCAGCTTTCCTGTCCTGTTCCTCTTGTTTCTTCTTTTCTTCCTCCTCCTTCTTTCTGCGAGCCTCCAACTCGGCTTTTCTGGTAATGAGCAAGACAACACCTTCTTATCACAGCATCAAGTAAGAGTCAACAGTTGTTGTCAACTATTCAAACAAGCAAAACTTTCAAAGACAGTGAAGTCCCGTTAATCCAACAAGGTTGGTTGCATATGATTATGTCAGATTGATGAGTAAGTCAGAATTTTTTTTTAAAAACCTGTAGAGGTAATGAATTCTCTGATGAAATCCTCCTTGGGGCACTTATTGCATTTTCCTGGCTCAAGAAAATCTACATGACATAGTTGTAACCATTTTCCTTAATAAAAATTGTTACCACACAAAAAACTTCGTTTTTGTATGATATACGTCCACCCTTATGGTGCCTCACCCTCCACGGCGCGTCACGCCAAGGGAAGCAACTCTCACCCAAATCACTTTCCATATGTCTAATGCTGACGGAATGTGGGGAGGCGGGTGGCCGTGCCCCAAGGAGGATTTCATCAGAGAATTCATAACCTCTACATGTTTGTAAAATTCTCTTTCAGATTAAATCCTCCTTGGGGCACTTATTGCATCAAGATAGACTCCTAAAGATAATCTAGGAAGTGGCATCCGTCAGCAACAAGCGTGCATAAATACATCGTATTTTGATTATTGCAATGAATAAACAAGAGTTCAATAAATGGAACCAACCTTATCGTGAGGCACCACCGTCGAAAGGCGGGGGCTGGAGACAGGGCGTTATCGACCATACACAATGAAAAGAGCCATTCTTTGTGGCTTATCATATCGAGAACTCGAGACACACACACCCCCACCCACCCCACTTTTTTGAACAAGTGATATGGGGGCACAGATCACGAGAGACTATATACCCCCGCAGAGCTAGGCCAGAGGGTCCCCGTGAATCGAATGAGTGCACGTGCAAATACGATGATTATCAAATGGTAATGGCTGGTATTGTAATCGACCGTAGAAGATATAATCCGGACCGTTACTGAGCAGTGTTATAACCAGTCCGGGCGGTCTAAAATCTGGAAGGCTCAATCGGCTAGAGATGCAGAACTTTGCCCAGTTCGGAGAACTGACTGACCAAACCGAGCACGCTCGCTTGAGTGTTTGTCGAGTTGGTAATGTTTGATGAACGTGCTCGGCCGGCTCCAAATAGCCGCGGAGCAGATCTCCTCAATGGGCAGAGCCGCGGTGTACACTTGTGTCGTAGCCACTGCTCTAACCGAATGAGCCTTCAACTTGGTAGGGGGTCCGTGCCTTGAAGGGTGTACGCCGTACATATAGTGGAGACTATCCACCTGGAGATAGTTTGTTTGCTCGCAGGTGAGCCAGCCTTCCTACCGCCATAACAGCAAAATAGTTGATTATCCTTACGGATACCCTTAGTTCTGCTGATATAGGACTTGAGGGTCCTGCGGACATCCAAGACATGAGCATGTCTTGTAGTGGTCCCCGACGAGGAAAGCTGTGAAAGAGCAGGTAGCTCAATAGGAGCCGTCACATGGGAAGCGTGTGCGACCTTAGGACGGTAAGAGTCTGGCAGGCGAATACTGACCCTGTCCCGGTGAAAGACAGTTAGTTCGAGATCGGCTGACATTGCGTGAATGTCGCCTACCCGTCTGCCGGATGTTACCGCCACAAGGAACGCTGTCTTCCAGATCAACAGCTGACGAGAGACGACAGATCCTGAAAGGAAGGACCGGACAGACAATCAAGAACGATTGACAAGTCCCAAGGGGGACTGATCTGCCGGACAGGCGGTCGGATCCTGTCCACACCTGCTAAAAAGCGCTGCACTAATGGGTGCGCACCCAGAAGTGCCCCATCGACAGGGACGTGAAAGGCAGCAATAGCTGTAGAGTACCCCCGGACTGTCGATGCGGCCAGGCCGACATCTAGTCGTGACTGGAGGAACTCAAGCATGGCTACGAGATCTGCAGAAAAGGGATCTGCAATCCTTCTATCGACACACCAGCGCGCATAGCAGGCCCATCTATCCTTGTAGTGAACGTTTGTCTAATCCCTCCGTGAAGCCAGTTTGCGTCTGCAACTCGTGCAGGAATACCGCTCTTCTGGAAGCCATTCCGGACAGTGGCCAAGCCATCCACCGAATCCTGGGATTCGGGTGGAGGGCCTCTTTCTGGAATAGGAGGTCAGGTCGTAAAGGTAATAGAACAGGAGGCTGAGCCAGAAACCTGAGTATTACTGGAAACCAACTCTGCGCCGACCAAAGGGGTGCCAGGAGCACAAGTAGTCGCGCAGGCTGAGTGGCTAGCTGAGACAGGACCTTGGAAATCAGAGGTTCTGGGGGGAATGCCCACAGAATTCTGTCTGTCCAATATAGCTGGAAGGCGTCCGGTGCCACCGACCTCAGGTCGGGGACTTGGGAGCAGAACGTTGGTGTCTGGTGATTCACCCCAGACGCAAACAGATCCACCTGGAACCACCCGTATAAATGGGAGATAATCCCGAATATCCCCGGGTCAAGCCTCCACTCGTGAGGAGCGAGGATCCGGTGAGACAGAGCGTCCGCTCGGACGTTGTCTACCCCCGGGAGATAAACAGGTAGCACCCTGATAACGTGTGAGTCGCACCATAGGAGGAACTGCCACGTCTCTTGGAGAAGCGACAGAGACACCGTTCCCCCCTGCTTCCGGATGTAAGTCATCGCCGTTTGGTTGTCCATCCCTAGACGCACCACTTGGCCACGAAGCAGATCCAGGAAGCGTTGGAACACCAACCTGACCGCTCTCAGTTCTAGCACATTGATATGAAGGTGTGCATTGAGCCACTGCGGAGTCTCGAGAACAGTCTCGAGATCTTCCAAGTTCACCCAAAGTCGACGGAGCGCTTGTTGAATGGGTCTCATTCTCAAGCGCGCCCGCCAAACCACATCCACTGTCGCCGCCATGTTGCCCAGTGACTGGAGCCATGTACGAGCAGTGTGACTTGCGGACAGAAGGAACTGGGAAGTAACACTTCTGACCTTGGTAATGCGATCTTGTGACAGAGATACAAGTCCGCTCACCGTGTTGAAATTCGCCCCTAGGAAGACTAGATTCTGAGTAGGGCCCAGATCTGACTTCTTGAGATTGACTATCCACCCGAGAGTGATCAGAATGTCTATTACGTCTTGTGTAGCTATCTGACTCAGGGATTGCGATAGAGCTCTTAGTAACCAGTCGTCGGGGTACGGATGGCAGAACCGACCTTTTGACCTGGCCACTTGGGCGGGAATCAACATCAGCTGGGCGAACACCCTCGGGGCCGTGGAGATCCCGAATGGTAGAACCCTGAACTGATAACACCTCCCGTCGAAAGAAAACCTCAGGTATTTCTTGAACTCGGGGTGTATGGGTACGTGGAGATAGGCGTCTTTTAGGTCTATTGACGTTAGCCATTTTCCTGTCTCGACAGCTGAGATCACCGAGCGCAGTGTCTCCATCCTGAAGGAGGGTACCTCTATAAGTTTGTTCAGCCTTCTCAGATTGAGAATAGGCCTGAACCCTCCGCCTTTTTTGGTGACTAGGAAATATGTCGAGTAGAAGCCCTCGCTTTCCTGTCCCACGGGAACCGGTTCGATCGCAACCTTCATAAGAAGTGCGTCGACCTCGGCACGGAGGAATTCAGCCCTCTCTCGGGTAGCAGGCACCGGAGTGTGCTTTATCCCGGAGAAGGGGGGCGGATGATGTTTCAACCGAGGCAAATGGCCATCCCTTAGAGTGGACAGAGTCCAGTGATTGGATGTGACTGTCTCCCATTCCTTCAGGAATAGAGCCAGTCGGCCGCCTACGGGGACATCCGGCTTCAGGCAGTGGACCCCGGCTGTCGGCAGTTCGATAACATGCGACCGTGGGTCCACCCGGGGCACTTCGGGCGCTAATCGTAACCTGATGGGTTCTCGGCCCCGCGAAAAGGCTCCTGGCTTCGACCAGCTGCCCTGCCCCGGCCCCTGCCTCTCTTGCTCCTCCCGGCGCCCTTACCTAAAGGAAGCGGCTGCTTCCAAGCAGGTGTGGACTTCTGATCCGGCGCGTCACTGTAGGAGGAGTCAAGTGGAGAGGTCCGCTTACGCGGTTTAACGCATGGTACCTCCAACAAGGCCTTAGAATCCTTGATGGAGGCATACAACTGTGCGGCCTCTCGGACCACCTGCTGAGCCCCAGGGAAGAGGGTGGCACCCATCTTATATGGCAAAGCAAATAGATCATGGCGTGTGGAAGCCGAGTATTTGGATACCGACATCCACAGCCTGCGCATGCCAATGACTGCGCACATCATCTGCGAGGCACAGCTACGAATAGCGTCCCTCGCAAGATGACTATGTACCTCCGTAAGTTGCGCGGCCAACTCCGAAGAGTCCGCCGGCCCCTCTCCCACTAACTCCCTCTTTACGGCCGACAGATATGAGTAGTGTACGGACACCCGGAGCTGCTGACATGCGTTAGGATATTGCTCCTCAAAGCAAACGTAAGCAGCCTTCAGCTCTGTACCACACGCGGGAAAGGGTGGCAACCGCCGGCCCTGCTTGACCTTAGTCAAGTTGGGGGTCGAAGACCCCCCCAGGGTAACGGAGGTCCAGACGCATTCATCCACCACTGGTACCTCAAAATCACCATCCTCTGCTAACGGGTACCGCTTAATAAGTTCGGGCAGGTCGAACTTCCTGCGGGCACCTGACAACAGAGGGTTGATGACTTCATGCACCAATGAGGACAGAATACTGAGCTACACCTGGGGCGCCTTGCTCGGAGCAAAAGCGTCCCCAGGAAAGGCGGAACTCAGTCGGATCCGACTGGGGCATGGGTGCAGCCACCTGAAGCAGTACCTGGACAATCTTGTCCCGTACATGCCTCAACGATGAAGCGAAGGAAAATATTCCCGAGGCTCCGAGTCGTCTCCCCCCTCCTCCATCCACTCCTCTCTCGATTCCAAGCCGAAATTAATCGACTCTTCCCCGAGAGAAGAGGCAGACGAAGTCGGAAGGGGACGCCCGAAGGCCTGGGCCTTCGCATCCCCGGGCTGCACCCGGCCCGAAGCCGAGTCCCGGTCCCGAGGTGCCGGGGGTTCAAGGTAACCCACCTGGCTCTGGGCTAGAAATCCGCTAGAGGAAGTCTCGGCCTCGGAAGAGGCGTCTGGCTCCGCTAGGGAGAACTGTGCGTCGGTAGTGAGCGGGCCAGTGCCTGCCACCCCTCCCCTGGGGAGCGACCTCGAGCCGGTGCCAAAGCCCGGTCTGAGATCGTCCCCGAGACCAAGTGGCCTGCCTCGGCCGACGCCGGGCGTCGACAACGGGGAAGGCTCGGTCCCCATCTCCTCTCTGAGCTGAGACTTTACCTCCTCCATCATCGACGCCATCTGCGACCTCAACAAGGCAGAGATGTCTGCCAAAGACGGTGCAGGAGAGGGTGCAGTGATTGTGACGGGGACCCTAGAGCCTTCTCCCCCCGCCCCCGGGGAGGGAGCGGAGGAGAGTCTCAGCTGCTTTTTTTCCCTTTCTTACTTTTTTAGAGGGGGGGGGGGGGACGGTCTTTGCCGATCTAATATCCAACCCCGCCTTCAAGAGACCCTTAAAGTGTAAGAGGTCCACATTTCTCTTTTTCTGCCCGGGGGTGAAAGCAATACAGATCGGGCATGACCCATCGTCATGCCCGTCCTCCGCCAAACACTTGATGCAAGTATCATGCCTGTCTTGGGGGGGGGGATAGATGCGGAACACCCCGTACACAGTTTGAAGGTCTGTAAAAAAGACCGTAATTTCTGAGTTGGGCGGGAAGGGTAATAAAGTGTATGAGTACGATTGAAAGATCGGAAATACGAGCATAAATTGTGAAACTAGAAGCAAAGGCGTAATTTAGAATGCGATTGGTAACACGATACTAATAGCCAATGTCGTAGTATAATTATAACACCAAAGTGGGCGAGTTACGCGCGAAGGTGTAAATAACCCGTAAAAAAAAAAGGTAAGTGTAATTTAAAAATAATTAACACACCACCTTGGGTTTATTAAAGGAAAAGATTGTAGGTTAAAGCCCGATGATATAACATTAAAAACCCCAAGCCGTTTTTAATGGCCCTGGTGTTACATGTATCATACGTGGCACTACAAAATGGACGCTACGATGGCCTTTGTTTCAAAGGTATCATACACGTGTCACATAATTACAACTTTATAACTTTACAATGCGAAGTATTACGCCTTTGCATGAAGAAATGTACCATACATACAGTTTGGTCTGCCATGGTTCTTGTACGAACGATTATCTTGTACTTTTGTTAGTCTTGAAAAAAACAGGCACGTCTGTCTTTGTCAGATGACATAAGGAAAGTGATTTAGGTGAGAGGTGCTTCCCTTGGCGTGACGCGCCGTGGAGGGTGAGGCACTATAAGGGTGGACGTATATCATACAAAAACGAAGTTTTTTGTGTGGTAACAATTTTTATAAAGGAAAATGGTTACAACTATGTCATGTAGATTTTCTTGAGCCAGGAAAATGCAATAAGTGCCCAAGGAGGATTTAATCTGAAAGAGAATAAGTATTACCAACATACATGATCGAAAATCGGACAACTACATGATAGATAATGATAAATGTATGTTGTAACAAAATAATTAAAAAGGAAATATTCATATTTGCATTTAGTACTAACTGCTAAATGACTTTATCTCGCGTATCCAAACTATGGGATAACTAATTCACCCCCGGGTCAGCACTGTGCCCAGGGTACTAGATCCCTTGCCGGGGGGCCACAACCATCATCCCTCCTTTGTTTCATCGTAAATAGTCAACCACTTGCGCACCATCTCTCTTCAATCCCCGAAGCTCATACCAAGGCTGCCAGTGATGCAGCTTGGTCAGCCAATCAGAACACAATATACGGGGATTCTGTCCTTCCATGTGGATGGAACAGACGCCCATGTCAAACAACAGGTGTGAGAAAAAATCTGTTGTGGCGAGTTAGTTGATCTAGGCACTATCCTACCAAACATCAAGGAAAGCAACAAGGATGGTACTATAACCATGGCGTATGATTCCTCGGATGAGATCATTTTTAAACCCATAAAACAGCAACCAAAGCGCACGATGTTTCGTAATCATGCAACCTTGAACAGCTTAATACAGGGTATTCCTAATCACAGTTACGCCCGGTATGACAGATTCAAAACACTTTTGTCTGGAATGGAAGTCGCCAGTTTAAAACTTGTGCAGCAAAGCTCAAGCAAGCTGCTTTCTTACTGGCTAAAGTCGACTTCCAGTTAGTTATTTCATAGGTCGGTCAAAGCCCACAAAGAGTCGTCCTGACGTGACCTGTAATGGGATGTCCTCACTGGTAGCCAGGACTTAGATCTGATTTTAATGAGATTGAAGTAATCTGAAGATGTGATAAATCCTGTTTGATTTATTTAAAGGATTAATTGTTTATTGTCTCGCATTAAAACATGGGGCTGTGTACTTGCGGCAGAAGACCACGGAGCATGCTGATGATCATGGTGTTGGATGGTGGCTGATTAATGAGTAATTTCAGCAATTCATTGCAAATTAGACGTGTCAGAGTCGGAGTCGGGAGGGCAAGATTGCAGGAATAATGGGTCTGACTAGAACTGATTTAATCGGTTCCCATCAATAGTGTCGAATAAAGTCGAGCGTCGGAATAACAAGATTTAACTAAAACCTTTGGGTTAACTATCTGGTTATACAAGTGGTCATTGTGTGTCTTGGACTTATATTTGTAATCTATAATATCATACAAGTGGTCATTGTGTGTCTGGACTTATATTTGTAATCTATAATATTATACAAGTGGTCATTGTGTGTCTGGACTTATATTTGTAATCTATAATATTATACAAGTGGTCATTGTGTGTCTGGACTTATATTTGTAATCTATAATATTATACAAGTGGTCATTGTGTGTCTGGACTTATATTTGTAATCTATAATATTATACAAGTGGTCATTGTGTGTCTGGACTTATATTTGTAATCTATAATATTATACAAGTGGTCATTGTGTGTCTGGACTTATATTTGTAATCTATAATATTAACCAATTCAAAATTTCATTCAACATTTTTCAGATATACGATACAATAATTTCGGCAAAGTCGTAACTGAACTGATTGTATCACCTCACTATTATTTACAGCAACTATGATCAGATTTAACTGCTACTCATGCCTTGAAATTAACCTTAGTCTTTAGAGATACAATGATAGGTATACCACCAGTAAATCACCCTTAGATCAGGGGGATAGTGTGTGTACAGTTTCAGCTGATAGCTATTTCTGGCTTATTTTACAAGACAATTACAAAATCTGAATCTCTGTGTATGAAACAATTCCTAGAATACAGGAAGTAAATACCATTGAATTTGTAAATCATGTCTACTGGTAAACCAGTGTAAGTTGAACCAATTCACAAAATCACGTTTGAGACAAGTAGGTGGTGCACAGAATTTGGACCAACAAATTTGGTGTGTTACAGGTCGAGAGGGTGTACGTATGTTATGCACACAGTCTTGACGATGAAATTGACAATGCTCCTGTGGTCACATGTGTTGCTAAGAAGAATGTTAAGAATTTACAAATAAATCTCAAGCATGGTCACAATACTTCTCAATTGTTGTTATCTATTCAAATTTGCTGTCTCTGTTTTCAGTCATAGGTACCTCACATCAGCACAAACTAAGAACTTGTTAGCCGAGACAGGACATGCACATATCCATCATACTACTTGTTGCGGACCACCTACTACCCCTTTCTTCACAATGGTATGCGCCAGTGGGCGGACCTCATATATAGTCACATGGGGTTAATTGTCAGGTCACAACTCAACTCATCCTGGCTTACCAGGAGTGATGTTTTGTCGGCAAAACAAGCACACAAATTTCTACTACCACCATGATCATAACACAAGATGTGCAGTATTGAAAGCAGTAGGCTTGTAAAGGGAAGTAACTGAATGCTATATTGGATCATTATTCTTCTTTTTTTGTATTGCAGGATTTCACTTTCGGGGTCATGTGTTTGAGATGTGAAATATATACTGATTAATTTATATTGTAAAGATGGAAATAAAACAAAACATGTAGCAGATGTTATGATGATAAAGCAGTGCCTGGGAACTAAGTCACATTTTTTTAGCCTAATATATAACAGTACGTACTGTTTTCTTTGAAGTTCGTCTTCTTTCCGCTTCCTTTCTTCTTCTTCCTTTTTCTTTTTCTCTCTTTCCATTTCCTCCTTTAATTGCATGAAAAATGTTGATCAATAGATGAGTTTCACCCAAACTCTTTGAAATATGCTTGTGCGTATGTCATGACTTAAATGTAAGATACTGACTGTAGTCTGGGACTGCCCTGTCTGATATTGTTGTCTGGGACTGCCCTGTCTGATATTGTAGTCTATGACTGCCTTGTCTGGTATTGTTGTCTGGGACTGCCCTGTCTGGTATTGTTGTCTGGGACTGCCCTGTCTGATATTGTTGTCTGGGACTGCCCTGTCTGATATTGTTGTCTGGGACTGCCCTGTCTGATATTGTTGTCTGGGACTGCCCTGTCTGGTATTGTTGTCTGGGACTGCCCTGTCTGATATTGTTGTCTGGGACTGCCCTGTCTGATATTGTTGTCTGGGACTGCCCTGTCTGATATTGTGTCTGGGACTGCCCTGTCTGGTATTGTTGTCTGGGACTGCCCTGTCTGATATTGTTGTCTGGGACTGCCCTGTCTGGTATTGTTGTCTGGGACTGCCCTGTCTGGTATTGTTGTCTGGGACTGCCCTGTCTGATATTGTTGTCTGGGACTGCCCTGTCTGATATTGTTGTCTGGGACTGCCCTGTCTGGTATTGTTGTCTGGGACTGCCCTGTCTGATATTGTTGTCTGGGACTGCCCTGTCTGGTATTGTTGTCTGGGACTGCCCTGTCTGATATTGTAGTCTATGACTGCCCTGTCTGATATTGTGTCTGGGACTGCCCTGTCTGATATTGTTGTCTGGGACTGCCCTGTCTGGTATTGTTGTCTGGGACTGCCCTGTCTGATATTGTAGTCTATGACTGCCTTGTCTGATATTGTAGGCTGGGACTGCAATGTCTGATATTGTAGTGTATGACTGCCCTGTCTGATATTGTAATTGACAATGGAGTGCGACTGACCTGTGCCTGGCAACAAGGTGTGACTGAACTGATAAAAGATAAAAGGTTGTGACTGACCTGTATTTTGCGCAATCTCTCCTGTTCTTCTGCTATCTTCTGCTGCTCCAACTTCTTTTTCAGTTCAACAAGCATCTGGTCCATGCTTGCAATGAATTGACTGTATGCAGTATTCAGTTGATCCCGTGTCATGTCAGTGCTCTAAAATGTTGACAGAATGCTGTGCATAAGTATCATGTCTATTAATTCCATGAACCAGGGCCAACAGTTCTATGACACGTGTACCAGAGGCCACAGTTGACCTTGGCCAACAGTTCGATGACACACATACCAGAGGCCACAGTTGACCTTGGCAGACAGTTCTATGACACATGTACCAGAGGGCACAGTTGACAAGTGTTGGTTGGTAAGTTGGTTTGTTGCTTAACGCCAGACTAGGCAATATTCCAGCTATATGACGGCGGTCTGTAAATAGTCGAGTCTGGACAAGACAATCCAGTAATTAATATCATGAGCATCGATCCACGCAATTGGGATCAATGACATGCATCAACCAAGTCAGCGAGCCTGACCACCTGATCCCGTTAGTCGCCTTCTACGACGAGCATAGTCGCCTTTTACGGCACGCATGGGTTGCTGAAGACCTATTCTACCCCGGAATCTTCATGGGTCTATGACCACTGTTGACCAGGGTCAACAGTTCTATGACACGCATACCAGAGACCACAGTTACCCTTGGCTAACAGTTCTATGACACGCGTACCAGAGACCAAAGTTACCCTTGGCTAACAGTTCTATGACACGTGTACCAGAGACCACAGTTGACCAGGGCCAACAGTTCTATGACACGTGTACCAGAGACCACAGTTGACCAGGGCCAACAGTTCTATGACACGTGTACCAGAGACCACAGTTGACCAGGGCCAACAGTTCTATGACACGTGTACCAGAGACCACAGTTACCCTTGGCTAACAGTTCTATGACATATGTACTAGAGACTACAGTTGACCAGGGCCAACAGTTCTATGACACGCGTACCAGAGACCACAGTTACCCTTGGCTAACAGTTCTATGACACGTGTACCAGAGACCACAGATGACTTTGGCCAACATTTCTATGACACGTACCAGAGGCCACCATTGACCTTGGCCAACAGTCATTCAACACACGTACAGCATAGAATATTATTAAGTGTTGTAGTGGTTATGACATACACCTATTGTTGACACACATGCATACACACAAGTGAATGTCTTAACAATTAGGGCTTTCAAATGACACTAAAGATAATCATCACCTGCACTGACCTTAGGTCACTGTCACAGGCAATGCCTTAACTCACTTGACAGATTGAAAATATAGATAGCTTATATCATCTATATTGAAAGGTTTTCCACATGATCACCAAAAATTCTGAAATCATGTATCTAGTTGAGTACAGGTACTTCCCATTTAAATTTTAAAGAGTGTGGCATGAATAGTATTTGAATAAACCGTAATCCACTGATGACCATGATCAAAATGGATATTTATATTCAAAGTAATGTGATCACAATATATAATGATAATTTTGTTACTGTCATCTTACTCATAAAACATGAAATTGAAAGATGTATGAGGTTCATCAATGTTGGTGACAATGGACACACTCACCCGTATCTTCTTGATGAGACCACTCAGTGAGTTCTCTATGTCCTTCACTTGTTTCGTAGCCTGGTCTTTTTCCTTCTTGAACTGGGACACAATCTGGGCCATCATTGTCAGTTGCTCAGAAGAAGACTTCAGCTTCACTAAGATTGCCATCCTACAATACACATGCAGGTGAATATGGTAAACAAGCAAATCAGTAGTACAGGTGGTTCATCATTCATGCCATCAACAATTAAACTTTATAATTTTAGGGGTTTTATATAATATGAAACATTGTCAAAGTTCCTATTTATTAATTTTTTATCAAAACTAAAATATTCAATCGTATATTAGTATCCAACTAGAGGAAAAAGTCGTCAATATCCCCCACAATGTTACATAATTGTCATGAATTTGTCAACTTGTATATATACTCTTCAAAAAAAGAAACTTGACATAGATGTAAAACCACTTTTTGCCAAATATCTAAAATAATTACATTAAATGAGAACCAAATAAGTCAAACAGAAAGATGATGTGTCTATAATTCGCGAAAACACATGCAAAGCACATAAATGTAGCATTTGGGGATCAATTTTACCGCTTCATCCAAACGCAACAGCCTGTAAAAAACGCACAGCACAGGATCCTGCATTTAGGCATGCAGTCCCACTTGCTGAATGGGTATAAAAATCCACATCAACAGCTGTTCATACAGTCCTTATAACGGCAGTTGAGGCGGTGACAGAATGCCAAGACTGAATGCAGCTCAACGGAACAACGCCATTGGGAGATTACCAGCTGGAGCAACTCAGCAAGAAGTGGCCAGGCACTTTGGCGTATCCAGACAGACAATCTCCGCAGTGTGGACCCGATACAACAACACCAACAGAGTTGACGACAGACCAAGGTCAGGAAGACCAAGGGTGACAACCCAAGCACAAGATCGATACATCCGGCTGCCACACCTCCGAGACCGCACTACCACAGCCACGTCTACAACCACACAGATCCCTGGGGTACGCAGAATATCAGATCAAACGGTACGCAACAGACTGAGGGAGGCTGGACTTTTTGCAAGAAGACCTGTTCGACGTCATGTATTGACCCCACGTCATCTGGCGGACCGTCTGCTTTGGTGCCAACAGAGGCTTAGATTGGCACGTGCAAGGTGGAGAAATGTACTGTTTACTGACGAGTCCCGTTTCCTACTCACACGTGCTGATGGGCGCGCACGTGTCTACAGACGTCGGGGTGAACGTTACGCCCCCAACTGTGTGCAGCAGGTTGTCCCATTTGGCGGCGGGAGTGTCATGGAATGGGCCGGAATTCATCACGGTGGTAGGATGCCTCTCGTGCATGTGGCAGGTGCATTGACAGGTGTGCGTTACAGAGACTTGATCCTACAGCCTTACGTTTTTCCTCATGTCAACGTTCATGGCGGACAGTTCCAGCAGGACAACGCTCGACCGCATATTGCACGTGTTTGTCAGGACTTCTTACAGCACAACAACATCCAGACATTACTTTGGCCAGCCCGGTCACCAGATTTGTCCCCGATTGAGCATCTGTGGGACGAGTTGGATCGACGCGTTCGCAGAGGGAATCCACCGCCCCAAACACTTCCGGCGCTTCTTGATGCACTTCAGCATGAATGGCAGCACATCCAACAGCGTGTTATTGACAACTTGATTGCATCTGTAAGTCGTCGGTGTCAAGCGGTGATTGATGCACGTGGTGGGCACAACCGATACTGACATTTTCTGTACCCCTGTGACATTAACTGTATCGTGTACGTGTGTCTGTCTAGGTGACACGATTAATGTTTTGAACATTGTGTACATTGATCTTCAAACAGTATTTCAATTATGGTTTCTGTGTCCTATTTTGAAACAATCGCATTATATTACATTTTGAAAGTCAGTGTCAAGTTTCTTTTTTGGAAGAGTATATATTTAGTTGACATGGAAACCCGAAAAAATATATTTTAAAAAAATTCCAAACTATGAAAAGGCACCATTTCACCACTAGACCTATCTGTGTACCTAGTTTGATGAAGAAATATTGTATGATTTTCAAGATCTGCTCTGGAAACAAGCACTACTGCAATTTCATGCCTAAGTCCAAGTTGTTGCCATGGAACCACTATTTTTGTTGAAAATCCCAAACTATCAAAAGGCACCAGATCTATCTGTGTGCCAAGTTTTGTGAAGAAATATGGCATGGTTTTCAAGATTTGCTCTGGAAACGACATCTTGCGCGGACAGACTAACAGACAGATGCACGGACTGACGGGTGTCCAGCGACAACCTTCAAAGCAAAATCTCTGAGATAGCGATTTGCTAAGACAGATAGTGATTTGTGAAGGCAGTTTCCGATAAAAAAAACCAAACTTTCCATAATCGTCAGGATGTAGAGCTTAAGGAGATGCTATAGCTCTGACCTCGTGTAGATTTTATCCTGAGGATGGATCTAGCCCTGCTGCCTTGTATGCTCTGAGAAAAACTGCTCTTATCCAGAAGGAGATGATTGTGCTGGAAACTTCAGCTGAAGTATTCTCTGATAGAGAAATACACAGTCTTCTTAATGAGTGTCTTTAGGAGCTTGCTCTTTGTAGATATATGCTGTTTGCTCTGACTGGGCATAACAACAAATCTTCAGAATCCTCTGATCCAAGAATGGATGAGAGTGGTGGGGCATTGAATTTCTGTCTGGTTGTCTTGGCAGTTGATTCTTGGCAATCAAGTCTCATCTCAGATGTGCCAGTGCTTGATCGCTGTTGCGACTAAAGTGGATCCCATGAATCTTTGACATCCTTGCAGCCATGTTTAGTGCCAGGAGAAATAACCTTGTTCTAAGGGTTCATAGGCATCACTGGTAAGATGTTGGGAGTACTATATCAAGGTCCCATGCTGTGGCTCTGAATTTCTTCTGTTGATCTTTAAGTCTATAAGATCTTAACAGTGCTATTGATTCTGGAACTAGTTTGATTCCGTTGCACATGGTTAGGACGAAGCTGATAGCTGCTAAGTGCTTGCGCTTCTCAGGTTGCATAAGACCTCTGTGGTAAATCGGCTTTTGCTGCTGTAAACACCGCAGACCTTGCAAACTGGTCAAAACTCCTCAATTTATCATCACATAAACTCCCCGTGGATCTGTGAAAGGGCTAAAGAGACTGCCTTGGCAGCTCAGGTTGAATAACCTCTTACAGTGAGTCTGATCATAATGTTCAATGCATGAAGCTCGTAAGGGGCGACCAAAAGCAGCCGATCTTCTGTAATATCAGACGTATTAATTAGTGCTGGTGATGCGAATGCCAGTGCATCAGTGGCCCAAGCTTGCAGGTTGGGAACTAGTGACTAAGGTTGCTATCTGCCTGTTGAATTTGGTTGTAAATAGATCCAGTGATGGAGCATTCCTTCTGTTGGTGATGGTTTGGATGGTCTGGATCGGGCATCTGCTCGTACAGTTTGTACTACTGGGATATCTCTTGCCTTTCTTCTTAGATTCAGACTGTTCAGTTGGAATGTTAATCTCAGAAGGGTTACCGATCTTGTCGTACCTTGGGAGATTTATGTAGACTGCCATAGTTGAGTTGTCTGTTATTTTCATCAGAAGCTTGTTTCTCTACCGTGGTGCCAAATGGACTATTGCCTGGATTACTGCCTCAAACACTAAGTGGTTGATGTGGGAGAACTTTTTTTCTGTTGACCATAACCCTGCGGATATATCTGAGTTGAGGTGAGTGCCCCAACCTTGTTGTGAGGCGTCCATGAATAGATGTTGGTTGTAATCCATCTCTTTCAAAAGGTTTCTTCTGCAGACGTTCGACTTTGTAGGCTACCAATGAAGGAATTTGTTCTGCCGTTTTGTGGCAGTCGAAGTCTGAGATCTTGACGATCTAGCAACAGTCTTAGGAATCTTTGAATGGGACGAAGTTGCAGTCTGCCTCTTACTGTCAGCGCTTGGGTGAACATAAGTAGCCCTACTATTACTTGCTATTGGTTGACTGACATTTGTCTGTGAATACCATTTGGAAGACAGCTAAAAACTTAAGTTCTTTAGGTGGTTTTAAGATCTGACATCTGGTAATTGATTAACCAGCCCAACTGTGTTAACGATCTCAAGAGTTAGGTTAAGATGGTGTCAGAGTAGTTCTATCTGTTGATATGCTTGAATTCCGTCATCCAGGTAGAAGGTGCAATGGCTCCCCATGGAGTGTAGGAAGGCCACAATTGGGTTCTTCACCTGTGTAAACAACCACAGGGCTGTAGAAATTCCAAAGGCCAAGTCTGCCCACTGGTAGTGATGTCCTTGGTATAGAATCTGAAGGTATCTCCTAAAGTCTGGGTGAGTGGGGATGTGCAGGTAAGCATCTTGTAGATCAATGCTTGCTGGACAGTCGTGCTGTCTTATAATCTGTTTTAGCTGTGGTAAGTATAGCATTATGAACTTGTCTGGCTTTTGAAGGTACTTCTTGTTAACTCCTTCATACTGTAGATAAGACGAGGTTTTTTTGGTACCAAGAAAATCGGTGAATAAAACCTCGGAATTAGGACCTCTGGCTGTATTAACTCTATTGCTCCCTTGACAAGAAGTGTGTTGATCGCTTATGTTAACTTGGGTTGCAATACCTCAGAGTATTGTTCTATTGGAGGATTGAGGGAGTGAAGTGATCCTTCTTGTACACCTGGACTGTAACCTTTCTTGAGAAAGGTCTGGGTCTATGAAGGTTGTGATAGGTTCATGAAGCTCTGGAGCTGCGTGAGGGTCATCCTTGTGCAGGTTTCTGACTTCTGCGCTTTAGCATCTGGCTTCATAGACCCCTTCAAGGAGGGTGATGGCAGAGCCTTCGTGGAAGTGATAACCTTCACGAAGATATGCTCTCTTGTAGTTGAAGATGACTTCGATGAAGAGGAAGAATTGCTCTTCTTCTTAGTTAAGACCTGTAGATTCTTTAAGCTGTTGATAGTGACAGCAGGAGATTTAGATCTGGACGAACTCTTTAAAAGAGCGTTGCCATCATTGCTGCCCAAGTTAAAGGTTGGTTGGTTTAACTCAGCACACTCAGCAATATTCCAGCTATATGACGGCGGTCTGTAAATCCCCGATCCTGATAGTTGCCTCTTACGACAAGCATAGTCACCTTTTACGGCAAGCATGGGTTGCTGCAGA